GCCCCCCCCCCCCCTTTCTCCAGAGCTGTCAGACCTTGGGGTGGGAAATCCTGCGAGATGCGGGAAGAGGAGCCGGGATGGAGGTTGCCAGGCAACTTTAATTCAGCCCTTGACGAACTTCCAGCACTTCCCTGCCTCTGCTGCAGAGCCCAACCGGCAGAAGGTAAAACATCAGGTCCACCTCCAGGACACCTCCACGGTGTCCATCACACAGCTGATGGTCTCCCACCCCGGGGGTGCCCCACAAGGCGATGGGTCCCCCCCCAGCAGCCGCCCCGAAATCCAGCCTGGGACGAGCCGTCCTTCCCGGCAGAGATTTGCAGGGGCAGGATGTGACCCGTGGGACTGGGCTGGCGCTGCCGCACAGATATTTCTCAACCAGACGGGATTTTTGTCAACAACAGCAAGAAAAAAAAAAAAAAAATCAAAAAAAAAATGCTAACTTGCTGAAAGCCCTGTGGGAAGAGGGGACCTGTGCTGGGTTTGGGGGCTGGGGACGGGGAGGGAAGGAGCACAGTGACCTCCCGGGAGCCCCTCGCCGAGTTTATTTTAGTTGCTTTCTTTAAACAAAACCAAGCTTGACCCTGAGGCGCTTCAGCGGACACGCACGAGAGCTTCGACAATTCGGGAAGCAGATCTATATCCCTCTTTTACCCAAATTTGGGATTGGGGCACAGAGGAGGGGGGAGGGAGAGTGAGAACAGCAGTTCCTCTCCGGGAGCATCCCATCCCGGTCCCACCACGAAGCCCCCGCAGATGGCACAGCCGCCGAGGGGCTGGGGGGGAGGGTGTGGGGCCATGGGAAAGTGTTCTGAATTTTCCTGGCAGAGGAGAGCCCCCAGCTCTGATCCCACCAGCGTCACGGTGGGAAGGAGAGGCGTGAAGGAGCAAAGTGATGGATGGCAGAGCGAGCGGGGCTGGTCAGGGACGTGGGCTGGTCTCAGGGGCACCGGCGCCGACGGGAGCCAGATGTCTAAACATCCCTAAAAAGACAAGCTGATCCATCAGCAAAAAAAAAAACAACCTACCAACAGTCCATTTTCTGACAGATTTGCTCTGCTGGCCCCCAGCACTGTGCCTTTATCTCCATCGCCCTGCAGCATCCCTCTGGGGGATGTCACCCACCCAAGGAGGGGCAGGGACCAGCCATGGTGTCCCTCTGCACGGCTGCAGGGATCACAGAATCTTCTAGGTTGGAAGGGACCTTAAAGATCATCTTGTCCAACTGTCAGCCTCATTTTGACAAAAAGAAACACCCACACAACAAACAAAAAGGAACACCATCACTAAACCATACCTCCCAGCACTACATCAACCTGTCTTTTGAACACCTCCAGGGATGGGGCCTCAACCCCCTCCCTGGGCAGCCCATTCCAATGCCTGAGAACCCTTTCGGTGAAAAAATTTTTCCTAATATCCAGCCTGAACCTCCCCTGGCGTTTCAGTGTTTCAGCTTCTCCCCAGCTCCCTGTTTTCACTGATCTGACAAGAACTCGTTCCTCTCCTCCGTCAGGTCGGGTCTGATGTGGAGCAGGAGGTTCAAAGGGGCTGCCAGGCAGCCACCGAGCTCCATTTCCAAGTCCCCATGAGACCCAAAAAACGCACCCAAGTTAAAAAAAAAAAAAAAACCAACTGGGAAAATAAGGAGAGCTGCTCCAGCCCATGCCATGGGCTGGCATCACCTGCCTGCAGCCCCCTGCCAGGCACGGGGACGGCTCTGGTCCAGCAGCTCCTGGCACGATGGCAGGAGGACGATGCCCAGGAGGGAAGACCAAGAGGTCCTCTGCTCCCCATCCGTGTGGAAAACCCACCGACGCTGGCTCTGAGTTGAAACGGTTCCTCACCTGACTCCATCACCCCAAAAGCCTTTCTCAGAGCCTGGAAGGGCAGGGCACAAGGAGGGGAGGGTGAAAGGAGAACCCTTGCAGCTCGGTGGGGAAGCCAAGACAAGTAAGGGATGCCCCAGCCAGCCTGGACCCGGCACCCCCTGGGGCAGAGCAGCAAATCTCCCCTCCAGGAGCAATTCCTCGCCTGCTGGGTTTGGCTCTTGCAAACGGGCAGTGAGGACACAGCCCCCCATGGCTTTTCCCTCCATCCAGAACATCTTCCCCTCTGGAAATCCCACGGGAGCAGCCCGGGCAGCACCGGAGAGCCCTGCGAAAGGGGAGGATGCTGAGACATGATGGCTGGACTCCAAGTTCACCCATCACCAGCCCAACCCCACATGAGGGCCACGGGGGGAGGCAGAGAGCCTCCGGACACGGGGTGCAGACCCCCCTCCTGGGGGGCTCCCACCTCCTCCATCGCGGGGAAGGGGCACCCTCAGTGCTTAGTGACATCACTCCCAAATCCCAGCATTTTCCATCCTTTCCCGCCTCATTCGTGGCACGCCAAGCTTCACCCTTGGCCAGCAGCCCCTCAGCAGCCCGGACAGACAGACGGACGGACGGATGGACAGCCCTCTACATCACATCAAAGTTTCCCAGCAAGGGGGTGTCTGCATCCCAGTGGCTCGGCGCTGGCTGCAGGTCAGCCCTTCAAAGGCTTTTGTGGCCAAAGCACGTTGTCTCCACGGCAGAAGCAGGGAAATAATTGTAGAATTAAATTCCCGGGAACGATTAGAAAGAAAACGAGAAAAAAAAATCCCAACCCTCAACGTAAAGGGACGTTTCAGAACCAGCAGATCTCGCAGCTTTTTGACGTGTTTGAATCCATTTGCTGGTCCCCGTGGCTGTTTCATTTCACTGGGCTCGTACAATGCAAGACAAGGAATTAACTCGGGTGTTTGTTTAGAGCCGGTTTGTCTTCCAGTTTTTGGTTTTTGGTTTTGTTTTGTTTTTTTTTTTCCAAAGGCAGGTTTGAGTTTCAAAGACGTTTCTTGGCAGTGCCCGGGTTTCCCACCGACGGCACGGCGCGGGGCTTCCCCGAGGGGAAACTGAGGCTCAGAAATCCCACACGACCTGGGGTCTCCTCGGAAGGCAAGAGCTGGAGCACAACCCCGTTGGCCTGGCATGAACCGGGGAGGGGGTGCTTTCCGGAGCAAGCCTGTCCCTCTCTTTTTTATTTATTCCAAAGATAAACTGTTTGATTTTCAAAAGTCCAGCAAAACCAGATGACGTGAGCAGTTTTATGGCTCCCAGCTTGAACGACCTCATCTCGTTTTCTTCGCTTTCCCTCCAACGAAGCTTCAAATTTGGGGTCAAGCCCAGTACGATGTTCAACTTCGCCTTCCAAGCCGCGCCGGGGGAGGCAGCAGCACCTGGCCTTTCCCCCCGGGTGGTTTGCATACCGCCGGCTCCGCCACCCCAAAATCAGCTCCCCACCTCGTTCTGCAGGGGCTGGGGCTTTGCAAGAGGCAAAGGAGAGCCCTCCAGGGAGGGGGGGGGTTGTACCTGGGGGGAGCCTTTGAGCAAGGAGGAAATCACAGCCCTGGAGCACACCTTGAATCTCCCAAGCTGTGTCCCCCCAAAAGTGGGTAATACAGTGCTGGAGACCCCCCCTCCAGCTTCCTTTGGCTCTGGAGGGCAGAGCTCAGGCCCCATGAGGAAGGAGGGGGTGGGTTTGGCAGTGACCTTGCCATGGCAAAGCCCTCCTTCTTCTAAGTCACCGGGAGCAGTGTCACCTCCAGACGGGGAGGGACGGCGGCGGCGGCATTTCCTCCCGCAGTGCCAGCAGGGCAGGGAGCTCTCACCTTTGAACAGGACCCAGCATCCACCCTCCACCCACAGCCGGGGGTCAAGGTATGTCCCCCTTTATGGGGACATAAATCCTCTCACAGCATCATCGTCTCCCCGAGAGGTAGAGGGTACCCCCCCGGGGACCGGCAAACACACGCACACACACACACACACACACAACCCCCTTCATCACACCACCCATCCCAGGAGCTGCTTCCCAACAAGTCCCATCACGATGCCAAGCGGAGCCGGCGGGTGAGGGCAGGGAGGGAAATTCCCCGCAGGCGGCCAGGCGAGGCTGGCACCGCGTCCCCACCGCACCCACCGCTGCCCTCCCGAGCGGGGAGCCGGCAGAACCCCCCCAAAACCCCCATCTCCCACCCTCCCGAGCCCACCTGGGATGCTTTTTTCCCCCAAGGATGCTTTTTTGCCTCCCCAGCACACAATTTCCCGAATAAACTCCGGCAAACCCGCCCCATTCCTTTAGGGGAAGGGGGGGGGAAAGTGGTGAAAGGTTCAAACGGCTACTGGAAAAGGCGGGGAGGGAAGAAAGGGGGGGGGGAAGAACAACCCTACGACACAAAATCCTCACCTGCAAGAACCGAAAGGGTTCTTGGGGTTTTGGTGGTTTGTTGTTTTCTCTTTTTTTTTTACCCCCTCCGGTTGCAACATGACAACAAAGTCAAGATAGGGATCGCGGCGTGCTGGGGAGGGGGGGGGACGACACACAACTCCCTGCCCCTCGTCCCCCCCGGCCAAAGAGAGATGAAGCAGAGATGAGTCCCCCGTGAGGCATCGCCACGGCCACCCCCCCCCCCAGGGGGTTTGGGGGGGTTCACTCGAGGGGTCAAAGCAGCCAGAGCAGCCCAGGGTGGGTAGGCCCAAACAGCACCAAAAAAAAAAAACCAAACCCCACCATCATCGTTATTAATAATTTCCCTGCCTTGGAGGGGGGGACTTTGCGCCCTCCATCCATTTTGGGCAGTCTCTTTGTCTTTGGAGGCTGTTTTTCTTGGCACTCGAAGAGCCCCTTTCCTGGTTCCCTCGCCCACCTGGTGGTCTCCATTTTAAGGGCCAGGTGTGGGGCATGGACCCACCTGGGTGCTGGTGGGGAGGGCAAGGAGGCCCCCAAACCTGCACACAGCAGGGCCCTCCTGCCCTTGGGTCAGCAGATATGAAGCTCGACCCCACGGCAAACGAGCCCCCAGGCACCAGCCTGTCCCCTCCCCACAGGGATCCATCCATCCCAAGGGGATGAATCCCAAGGAGCCAGAGCTCAGACAAACCACATCCGACCCGAGGGGAAGGGGCTGGGGGGGGGGAGGAAAAGGGGTGCACTGCACCACCACCAGCTGCCCCCAGGAAACACTCAGCCTTCCCCAGATGCCACCAGCAGTCCCCATCCCTGCAGACTGGGAAGGAGGGGGCTGTATCTAGCCCTCCCCCCCAGGAGCCCTGTCTGGCTGCAATTTCCACCATCATCTTCCCTCACCCCCCCAGGAGCGTGTCCCCTGTCATTCCTGCCCAGGTCCCCCCAGCCCCACCTCACCCCACACCCCAGGTCTCTCCCCCACCAGAGAAAGCCACCTGGACCAGACCCTGCGTGTCCCCACCTCCTCTGCAGCTCGTCACCGCCGCGTCAGACCTCCCCTGAACCCCATCCTGCCCCCACTGCTCTTCCCCCCCCCTTTCCC